ATTTTTCTATAATAAATCATTTAAATAATTTATAGAATCATTTACAATATATATTTTATTTATTTTACAGAAATAGTTACAACCAATAAAATACTGTGACTGGTTAGGACAAACTCTCAGATGTTCTTTGTTCGATTTGTTCACATGATAATGAACTGAGCTAATAGATGAAGTAGTGTGTGCTTTAACATTAAATCACAATCATATTGGTATTAAAGGTCACTTACGTGTGAAGTATGGCGGATAGTTTCTGAACTGCTGGAGGAGATTGTGGATATAACTGATGTGAGTGTGTGAGTGTTTCTCTCCTCCTCAGCTGTGATCTGAGCTTCAGATATATCAGACAGATCACACACCGGACTGGAATAGACACGTGTAGAGCCTCACAAAACCTGTCAGGACCATCCAGCTCATCTTTCATAAAGCCTATTTCAGGACCATGCTCTGTTGTGCAATTTCCAGGACAATTAAGGACATTTACCCACTAAATTCTATAATAATAATAATAATAATAATAAATGTAATTTCTATAATTAAAATATATTTGCATAATTTTTTAATATTTGTAATCTTAGTTATTGTTAATAGTAATAATTTAGATTTTAATCGCTATTATATGATTCTCAGTTTTGTAATGCTGGATGATGACATCACTGAATTCAATGATGAACTGCCTTTAAAGGCACAATGTAAGATTTTTTTTAATTAAAATATCCAGAAACCACTAGAACAGTGTTATATGTTTGGCTGACTTGTGTACTTACATTCAGTGTTGGGGAAAGTTACTTTTAAAAGTAATGCATTACAATATTGCGTTACTCCATAAAAAAGTAACTAATTACGTTACTTAGTTACTTTTTATGGAAAGTAATGCGTTACGTTACTTTTGCGTTACTTTTTAAATCTGGACAGGGCTTGCTTGTTTGTTTTTAAAATAAAAAGTTCTATTTTTGGCAAATATAAAAGCTGTTTCACACCAAAAGTGAAATGAATAAGCCTCAGGCTGAAGGGAAAGTAAATTTACGTCCGTACAGTAGAATGCAGAAGAAGAAGAAGAACACACTTCAGCAATAAAAAAAGACACCGATGTTTGTCTAGAGTAATTTGTGCTTATTAGTACGGTTGAACTGGCCAACACTGCTCGCCGATCTCCAAGAGCTTCTGCTGTCTGATGCTCGTCCCAAATTGTCCGCTGATCATCAAGAATGGACTGAAAGCTCAAGTTGGGGTACGTTGCGTCTCCGTATGGCCTTCGGAGGATGGGGGACAATGGTCAACCCTACTGGAATGGCTGTGGACGAAACATTAGGACTCTTGAACGCCTTTGGATGGCTGTCCAACGTCTGTTACACACTAGATGTTGCGTTGACCAAAACTGGACATGTTTTGGTCACTGATGCTGGTGACCCGTCACTCAAAGTCACTCACTCCTTTAGCGACCGTCCAATGTTTTCGACTGCCGTGGGGTG